TTTTTTTTTTTTTTTTAATTTTTTAAAATATTTCCTTTTTGAGAGAGAGAGACAGAGCATTAACAGGGGAGGGGCAGAGAGAGGAATCACAGAATCCAAAGCAGATTCCAGGCTCTGAGCTGTCTGCACTGGGCCCAGCAGGGGTCTTGAACTCAGGAGCCGGGAGATCATGACTTGAGCTGAAGTCGGTCGCCCAACCGAACGAGCCACCCAGGCGCCCCCCGCGCCTTTGTTTAAGTAGAAGGCAGAGATGCAAACTGTATGTAGAAACTGCAAATACACGTCGGTAACAGCAGTCTCGAAAGCATCTGGCTCGTTTCCACGCATGCAGCGGGTAGCGCCTGGCCACCATGGCTGCACGCCTGGTCAGCAATTTGCTGCACTTGCAGACACTGCCGAGCGGTATCACGTCCCTTATCTCACGTGATTGTCACAACCACTTAGAAAGGCAGAGCAGGGAAACCGAATGAGACACAGAGAAGGCACGTTAGAGAGCTAGTAACTCTCAGCGGCTGGGCTTGAACCGAGGCGGTCAGAGATTCGGGTCTCCCTCCCGTCAGGGTCCCCCGCAGTGGGGCCCCGGTCCTGATGCTGTTCGGTGGAAGCGCGCACACCTGCGCGTGGGCAGGACGAGCCAGCCAATGAGGAAGCCGCATCGAGGAGGCGGGACGGGGAAGCTGCTAATGACAGAGCCTGCCCGAGAGGGATGCAGCTAATGAGGGCCTCTTGCTGGAGAAAGACGGCCGCTCGCCCAATGAGAGGCTGTGACCGGCGGGCTGAAGGCGGAACAGCCAGTGGGGCGCCGGGGCGGGGCGGCGAGCCCAGCGCCAACCCGCGAGCGACCGAACCCCGGCGTGCAGCCCGGATCGCCGCCCGCCATGGCCCGCGCTGCCCGGCTCCTCGCCGCGCTGGCCGCGCTCCTGGCCGCCGCCGCCACAGGCGGAGATGCCCGGCCCAGCAAAATCGGTGCGGGAAGGACAGGGTGGGGGGCTGCGCGGGGGAGGGCTGCGAGGGAAAAGGGATCGCAGCAGGGAGCTGCCGGGTGGGGGAAGGGGAGGGAAACTGGGCGAGGGAGGGGTCTTCCGGAGAGGAGCTGGCTGGGGAAGAGGCGAGGGACTGAGAGTGGGCGAGGAAGGGGACCGGCAGTGGGCAAGGTGCTGATCCCGGGTGGCGTGGGCATGTGGCGACGCCTGCCTGGGGCTGGAAAAGAGGCTCGGGGCAGGACTGGCCACAGATCTCACCAGAAGGTCCACGGACAGTAAGCATCTACAGTGGACCTGGCTCTTTGCCAAGTGCCCCGATGGATGACAGAGAGGACTGGGTGTGGGTGATGTCATTCATGAATGAAGGCTTATTGAGGGCCGTCAGTGTAGCAGGCACAGTGCTCCGTAGCTCCTGTCTGGAGGAGAGACGGCGCAATACAGGGAAGTCGGTGGTAAGGCCGAGAAGGTACCCTGATAGGGAGAGCATTTCCACCCACCCCTTCAGGCCTCTGGGAGGCCTCTGGAGGCTTCCTAGGAGTAACATCTAAGCCAAAACCTCAGGGAGAATAGGAGACCGAGCCCGTGGTAGGTCTAGTGGAGATAGATTTGTTGGACGACAGGGAAGAACTTTTAACAGCAGTCATCTTGGTTTTTATTACAGTGTTTCATTTTGAAAAATTTCGAACATGGGCAAAGTTGAAAGAACTGGATATACAGGGATCATCTATGTACTCGCCACCAAGATTCTGCCTGTAGCAAACTGCTACTGTACTTGCATTATTACCTAATTATCACCCACCCATTAACTTGATGCATTTCAAAATAAATCGCGGACATCGGGGCACCATGCTAAATACTCCATCGTGCATATCACTGGCTCGAGTTCCCTATTTGTTTGCAGTTTATTTCTCATCACAGTTGTCACTTTAACTCTACATGACTCCCAAAGATGTTCAAGCTCCCTCACATATAAAATTCCCACGGGCAGAGATGCTAGGCTTCTGGTGGGGGGCGGGGGGGTGGGTACAGAGCCCTACTCCACGAAGCTGCCCTCTCTGTACCCTTGTTGGCAGGGAAGCATGTCCCGCGGGAGCACCACAGACTTACTGGGCTAGGACAGGACTAAGGCTCCTTTGGATTACAAAACCACAGCTCAGGCCATGAAGAGGTAAGACAGACAAGCCTGCCAGGACTGAGAGTTTAGGGCTTTCCGGGGAGAGAGAAATCCTGAGAGCTAGAGGGGTTAGAGAAGGTGGATTTTGAGCCAGGCTTCGAAAGATGGGGAAGTCAGGCAGGCCGTGTCTGGAGGTGCGGGGCCCTCCCCCATCTCTCAAAAGTGGGCAGCAGAGTTCGCTGAGTCTTTCCAGCTGGCCCTGCCCACCTGGCCCCAGGGGTCACCCAGGGCAGGACGCTGGGCAATGCCAAGATGCCCCGTAGCTTTTTTGACTGTCCTTAGCTGTCTGACAAAAGCTTGACTTCGCCCTTGGTGATTTGGACTCTACACACGAGAATGAAGAAACTTCCTGTGAGGAGGGCTTCACCCTCGGACTGCTGGGGGGTCAAATCTGAATACCTCAGTGTGGCTTTGGACCCTTTAAACGCCTCACCCCCGACCCCCCCTCCCAGTTCCACATGCCCATGTCACTGTGGAGAGTGTTTCTGCTGCCTGGCAAAGCCGACTGTCCAAACGTTATTTCCCCTGTGGAGCCTGGTCTGCATATCCTCAGGCAGAATTCACTGCTTCCTCTTCAGGATTCCCTGGAACCCTGTTGCTTCACTTGGTCACACGTTGTCCTAGCTCATCGTCCATGAGTCTGTCTGCCCACTCCCTGCATGAGCTCAGGAGGACAAAAGCCTTGTTTGATTCGCTTGTGCCCCAGCACATCTTACCATGGACTAGAGAGTGGGCGTCAGGTTGTGGGGGTCGGATGAGCTGGTTCTCGATGGGGTGAGCTCTTCCGCTTCCCTATAGCCCTGTGGGCGGCTTCCAGGCTTCGTGAGAGTAGTTCCTCTGAAAAATGGGTAATTTGGGACTCCGCCGCAAATGGAGGGGAAGGGAGCACACCGCTTTGTAAAGGTTAAGGGCATTCTTGAAAATGGCTTTGTCAACACTGGAAAGGAGGAAGTGGTTTGTTTTTTTCAAGATGCAGCAAATCCTTCGCTTTACCGCCTGCCAGGATCTGGGGGCATAGTGAGCCGCGCCCGGTCCTTAAACGAGGAGAGTGGAGGATAGTGTGCAAGGGCGAGCCCCGGGGTAGGAACGTGTGCTGCAGGGATATGTGGGAGTGACACCTGACTTGTCTGCGGTGAGCCCGGCAAGCCAAGCTCCAATTACAGGCGGGGGCCACAGAAGCAGCGAGGTGAAAGGTGACAGCATTCCTGAGCAGCGCAGGCAAAGGCACAAGTGTGAGACAGGCAAGTCAAGGCAGACAAGAAGGTGGAGTGTTGGGCGGTGGGGCGGGGAGTAAGGCCGTGGAGGCCAGATCATAAAGAACCCTGTAGTTTTGCCTTCTTGACAGGAGCTGGTGGTCCGTCATGGGTCCAACATGGGTCTAGTGAGGACAGATCACACCAGATTTGTCTCACTTTCTTTTTGGACCGAGTTCCACAACTGTCAGATGAGAGGGAACCTGTGTCTCAGATACGTGGTGGGCAAACAGTGTGGGTGGTGTGGCTATCCAGTTCCATAGCCTCACAGCTGCTCTGCTGGCTTTGCACCGTGCTATTCAGCATTAGCATCGAGATTAGGATCTGCCTGGACCGTGGATCCTAGGAGCACCTCAGAGCCCACGTTGCCAGTGAAACGTTTTTATCAGTGACTTGGATGAGAACACTCACGGCATATGAACCAAGTTTAGAAATAGCAGGAAGGCAGGAGGCATAGGAAAGACAGTGGATGATAAGATCCAGAAAGACCCCAGAGCCGAAACTTTGGAGCAAGACTCCAGACCAATATAGAGTGCCCAGCATGGTAGTGAGCAACCCGTCACAGGGTGTATTCCAGTCTTGGCAAACACAGATGTAAAAGAGGTTTAAGTGCCAGGTGGTAGGTTGCATTAGACCAGTCGTTGGCTGACGCCTTCAGGAAAGGGCCAGAGAATAAACAGTTTAGGCCTGCCACCATAGCATGAAAACAGCCATAGACCCACTACAGAGAGTGTGGCTGTGTTCTGATAAAACTTTATTTGCAAAAACAGGCGTGGGCCTGGATTTGGCCCATGGGCTGTACTTTGCCGACCCCTGGGTTGAGTTTCCAAACACTGTTCTAACCTAACAGTACCTGTCAGTGACCAAGTTTTCACCAATTCATAGTGAAATAAAAACGGGGACAATATAACGAGTTTGTGTAAGGTTAAATGTATTCTCTTTAAATGATCCTCCAGAATTTTGAGATTTCTTTCCTGCTCTTTGTGCTGCCAAGGTGTCCCTTTCGTGACAAAAGGAGGGTTACTAGGTGACGGTTTTCAGGTTGTCCTTTGCTCTTTTTTGATAGCTTTACTAAACACTAGCTGCAGATTTCCTTTTTGAGATGGCATAAGCCGATGAAACGCAAGGGCCTGGGAGCCACCACCCAGGAGGCCACGAGGGTGGCACCTGTATCCTCACGGCCTTGCTCTCTGTCTCTCCCCTCGTCTGCCTCCCGGGCCTGCTGACAGCCGTGGTGGGGGCCGGGATCGGGGGCTCTGCCGTGGCCCATTTCCTCCAGCAGCACTTCGGCCCCCGGGTGCAGATCGACGTGTTCGAGAAGGGGACCGTGGGCGGCCGCCTGGCCACCATCTCAGTCAACAAGCAGCACTATGAGAGCGGGGCCGCCTCCTTCCACTCCCTGAGCCTGCACATGCAGGACTTCGTCAAGCAGCTGGGTGAGTGCACCGTCCCGGGGCTCCAGCACACAGCGCCCGAGGCTGGCGGCAGCCTTTGGGCTCTTTCCAGATCTCCCCGAAGGTCAAGGCTGGAAGGTCACGTAGCCCAGTCTCCTCGTTTTACAGATGGAGCAGCTGAGACCAGGGAGGGGAAGGCACTTGCCTGAGGTCACGCAGAGAGTTAGTTGCAGAGCCCGGATTAGAGCACAGGTTGGACTCCCGGGCCAGTTTCCTTCCCTTTCAATTTGCTGCCTCTCAATAGCCATAATCTTATGGCTTCCACATGCTGTGTGCTTGCCAGGTACCCAACATCCTTCTAGGCGTAGGCATTACCTCACCTCCAGTCGTCCCTCCTGCAAGACAGGGGTTGTATCTCCTGAGGAAACGGAGGCTCAGAGGGTGTCTACACCTTGGCTGGGGCCCCGCAGCTAATGAGTAAGAGAGCTGGATTCAACCCCAGCAGCATGTAGCAAAGCCACAAAGACATACACTGTTTGACGCACAAACTCGGCTTCTCAGAAGGGATCCCGCAGGTATACTTGAAGATGTGCTAAGTGGCATGCACACAGGGTTATTCATTACAGTGTTGTTTGTAGTAGCAAAAGGTTGAAAATATCCCATGTCCCACCCACTGGGGTCTGAGAGTAAATATTAAATAGCCAGCAGACAGTTCAGCAGGCAGATTGAGGAAGTCCTTTTTGCCCAAGTATAGAACAATCTACAAGACACAGTACGTCAGGATGTTGCAGAGCAGTGTGTGGAGGGTGGGGGGGGGAGGAGGAAGAACCCCCTAGATATATACACGTATGAGTGTTTGCAGAAAATGTCTCTGGAAGGATGCTGAAGGAATGTTGCCCTTGGGATGGGGGAACTTAGTGGCTCAGGGACAGGAGTAGGAGGGAAATGTACAAAAACCTGTGGCTTGGGGCAGGTCTATAACCTCTAAGCCTCGGTTTCTACATCTTTAACTGGGATGCTGTCACCTGTTCTGCCTCTTCCCAAGCTGAGAGAGGATAAAGTGAGATGCTTAAGTCTCAGGGCTCTGTGAGCTGTAGCATGTGGAAGCTTGCAAAGAGCCGTGAGTCCTTCCAGGCGGTCTTGGTGTTCAAGGCCACCGTCCGAGAGCAAGCCCTGCAGCTGTCAGCCCCTGGACATTCCGGGATGACATCTGAATTTCCCTCCCTCATGACTGAGTGGATCCCTGTGGGAAAAAAAAAAAACTGAACTGGCATATTATTTACATTGTCACGTCTTTATTGACTAGCCAGCCCAGTGCATTCATTTACTGTTTTATTTACTTTTTTTTTTTTAATGTTTATTTATTTTTGAGACAGAGAGAGACAGAGCACAAACGGGGGAGGGGCAGAGAGAGAGGGAGACACAGAATCCGAAGCGGGCTCCAGGCTCTGAGCTGTCAGCACTCAGACAGGGGCTTGAACTCACGGACCGTGAGATCATGACCTGAGCCGAAGTCGGACGCTTAACCGACTGAGCCACCCAGGCGCCCCTCATTCACTGTTTTAAACAAGCAGCAAAGATGAACAAACTGTAGAGTTCATATTCCCTTTAATGGAGCCCGTCCGTTTGCATCCTTCAGGAGGACCCTGCGTTTTGCTTCAGGCACCGCTAGATCTCCTTGGGGGCCCCGTGAGAGGGACCTGAGGGGCTCCTCCCTGTCTCCTCAGGGCTGAGGCACCGGCGAGAGGTGGTGGGCAGGAGCGCCATCTTCAGCGGGGAACACTTCGTGCTGGAAGAGACGGACTGGTACCTGCTGAACCTCTTCCGCCTCTGGTGGCACTACGGCATCAGCTTCCTGAGGCTGCAGATGTGGGTGGAGGAGGTCATGGAGAAGTTCATGAGGTACAGCGGGGCAGGCCGCAGGCAAGGCCTTCTGGAGGGAGGGAGGAAGAGAGACGGGGAGGGACCCAGCTGGACTGTAAATTGTCGAGAAGGAAAAGGGACTTCCTTGCTCGCGTGTGAGAGCCCCGCACAGTGCGGGGATGGGTCTCTGGTGTTGCCGCACTAGCATTCCTTCCCTCCGCTGAACTGGTGATGAATTAAGAGCCTGGGTTGCAAATACAGCCACCTGCAGGGGGCGCACCAGGGATGTAAATGAGTGCAATAGAGAGGGGGCAGAGAAGAGGAGGGAGCAGGTGCCCTGAGGAGCAAGGCCCCACCCAAGGGGGCAGCCAGCTGTGGCTGCGTGGCAATGCTGACCTCATGTGGCGAGATCTTCCAGTTTTTTGGAAGAAGCTAGAAACCCAGAGTTATGTGTGAAATCTGGTTTTTCAATACATGCAACCAATTCATCTTATAAATAAGCAAAATGAAGCATGTATAGGCCTCACGCAGCCTGTGGGCCACCCGCTTACAAGCCCTGCTCTCCCCCAGTTTCCCTATCTAGAACAAGCTCCTTTTTTCACCACTTCCCTCCTCCCTGGGTCCCGGTCTCCTCCCCGACCCCTTCAGATAATGAGCACAAGTGGTCCAGTGTCACTCTGTCCACTTCCCACAGTTCACCCACTCGCCGGTTGGCACCCCAGCTCTCCGCTGTATGTCCTCCCCGCCTCCTGGCCCAGAGGCGGTCATTCAAGGTGGCCCCCTGGCCTCCTCCACTTTCCCCACCTCCTCAGCTGCGCCTTTCATGGCACTTCTTATATTTTCCAGGTGTCCCCCAAAGGTTATGTCCTTACCCCTCTTGTTTCTTCTGTTTCTCTCCCCTGTCAATTTTACCCAAACCGACAACGCTGAGTTTTTTCTTTCGCGGGAGAGGAACTCTGTCTGGACGTCCCATTGACGATCAGAGTCAACACGGTTACTAAGTAGCCCAGGCAGAGGCAGCGTTTCAAGGACCAGTACCTCTGGAAATCTACCAGCAGATGAGTCCCAGCAACCGCTAGTCCCTGAGACCGGGAGGCGGGGAGATGTGGAGGGACGAGATGGGAGCTCGGGGCTGCGTGAGAGCCTGTTGGATGGAGCCGGACAGGAGGCCAGTCTGGGCTAGCACAGAGCATGATGATGTTGGTGTGAGACAGGCGCCATCGGGTCCAGTGTGGCCCCAGAAGCCAGCGCAGAGCCAAAGCCGCTGCAGACGGGGCAGCGTCTGTGGGGGCCGGCTGTGGCCCACACTGCCCGTCAGTCGTCCCCCCAAGTGAGAAGTGGGCTGTGCCCTCACAGGGGTGCCGGAGTCATCATTTAGCAGAGCCGTGATGTGAAGCCAGGTCTAGTGGGATTCCAGGGTGTCCGCCCCACCCTCTGCACTGTCGCTGTGGCTGGGAAAGGACCGTCAGAGTCAGCAAACGGGCCGAGTAATCAGCCTTCTCTCCCCCCTACACGGAGAGGAGGGGCAGGTCCCTGCTGGGGCTCTCGGGTGCGGTGAGCCAGCAGTGGGCGGTCAGCCAGAAGGCCTTTCGGCACAAGGGCTCCTCTGCATGTCTTCCAGGATCTATAAGTACCAGGCCCATGGTTACGCCTTCTCAGGCGTGGAGGAGCTGCTCTACTCGCTGGGCGAGTCTGCCTTTGTCAACATGACCCAGCGCTCCGTGGCCGAGTCCCTGCTCCAGGTGGGCGTCACTCAGCGCTTCATCGACGACGTCGTCTCTGCAGTCCTGCGGGCCAGCTACGGCCAGTCCGCGGCGATGCCCGCCTTTGCCGGTGAGCCTCTGGCCCTCGGCCTGCCTCCTGCCCTTCCCCTGGCCCACAGCGCCCGGAAGGGGCTGGGCTCCCCGTAATAACCTCACTTTTACCAGGCCTAGTTGACTAAGCACCTTATTGCCTCAACCCTATTTGATTCTGGCCATCAGTCCTCCAGGCTGGCAGGAGATAGTGTTCGCCCCACTTCTCAGATGGCGAAAGGAAAGCTGAGATCTTAGGTCCAGTGTGTTTCCACCACTGAGTTTCAGGAACTGCCCCACTGGGACCTCGGAGCCCCCGGGTACTCCTCCGTCAGCACGTCTCCTCTCCCCAGCTCGTTCCTGGGGCCAGGGGGCATGTTCACGACCTGCGCAGGCTGGGTCCATCCCTCCTCCTAGGCTGCTGACATGGAAGGTTCAGGTTCATGGTCCTCTTCTCGACCACTCACGCTTCCACCCGCTGGCTCCCGAGCATGACCTCCAGGACTGCACATTCAGCAGGTGCCTCCACTGGGAGGCCTGGAGGGCACTCAGCGTGGCCAGACCTGAACGCCTGACCCTTCCCCTCAAGCCCGCCTCCCCTGCGGTCTTCCCAGCTTGGTTGGTAGTAGCTCCTCTGTGTGGCTCCAGCCAAAACCTTGACTCGTTCTTTCTCTCATGTCCACCACATGGTATGTCAAGAAATCTCATCTGCTTTGCCTTCCGCATATATCCAGGGTCTGGCTGCTTCCCACCGCCATTTCCTCCCTGACCTGGATTACTACAGGTCTCCCACCAGGCCCCTCTCCCCGCCCTCCTGCCCCCTTCCCCCTGCGGGCTCAGCTGCAGGATCCTTTTAAAACAAAAGACACATCATGTCAGGCCTATGTGTAAAACTCTGTTAAGGGCTCCCGCTTGCCTTCAAGTAAAACCCAGAGCCCTTCCAGTGGCCTTCAAGGCACCGCCTGGCCTGGGCCCCACCACCTACCTGCTCATTCATCCCCGCTCCAACCACTCCGGCCTCCTTTTCATGCCTCCAGCGTTCCAGACACACCCCTATCTTGGGGCTTTTGGGTGGCCCTCCCTCCACCTGGAACATTCTTCTCTGGTAAACTCTTGCTCCCCACCATGTCTTTGTGCAGACGTTCCTTTTCATGGAAGCTACCCTGCCACCCCACTCCTGCCCGCAGCAGGGCCAGTCCCCCTACCCTGTGGCCAGCAGCTTCTAGCTGTCTATTTAATCCACTTTCATCTCTTCCCACTAGGAGGTAGGCTTCCCAGGGGCGGGAAGCTCTGTCTCCTTTGTTTACTGGGTATCCCAAACACTTAGAAAAGGGCCTGGACCATTGGAGGCACTCAGCCCGTTTTTGTTGGCTAAATGAATGAAAAGGTTTGTACTTAGCAAGTACCTCCCACGGCCGCCGGGCTGCTGTTCCTCTGGCTGTTGGCATGGTTACCTCCCTCCCAGCCTTCAGGTCCTGCCAAGTGTCCCCTCAACGAGGCTGTCCTGCTCCGTCTTCCAGTACTTGTGTGTATCCTTCAAGATACAATTCATATACCACACAATTCGCCCCTTTATTTTTTTTTAAGGTTTTATTTTTAAGTAATCGCTACACCCCACGTGGGGCTCGAACTCACAACCCCGAGATCAAGAGTTCAGTCACCGACTGAACCAGCCGGGTGCCCCCAATCCACCTATTTAAAGTGAACAATTCAATGGTTTTGAGTGGTGTAGCCATCATCCCAGTCAATTTTGGAATACTCTCGTGGCCTCCAGAAAATCCCATAACCATGGCCATCACTTCCCCAGTAACCCCCTGCCGTCTAACCCTGGACAACCACAAATCCACTCTGCATTTCTATGGATTTGCCCCTTCTGGGCGATCTGTGTAAACAGAATCTTACAATCTGTGGTCTTTTATAGCTGGCTCTTGCCCTGAGCATATTTTGACTTCAGCGCATTGTAAAGTTTGTTGTATTTGTGGGTGTGTGTTTTCTCTCATTGTCCGTGTTGGGAAAGTCGGGCCTGAGAGGGAGGGCTCAGCGGGCAGAATGGTGCTGGACTCTCCAGCCACACAGCCCAGTGGTTCTGAGAACCCACTGGCCGCTCTCCCCCGCTTTGCCTAGGAGCCATGTCGCTCGCTGGGGCCCAGGGCAGCCTGTGGTCTGTGGAGGGAGGCAACAAGCTGGTTTGTTCCGGTCTGCTGAAGCTCACCAAGGCCAATGTGATCCATGCCACAGTGACCACTGTGACCCTGCAACAGACAGGTGAGTGAGCAGAGCACGGGGTGTGGCCACTCCATTCCTAGACCCGTGCTCACCTCCACCACTCTGCCCCTACGCCCTGGTCTTTGATCTGCGGGGGAGTGGTTCCAACAGACCCGTGGAAAGCCCCGACACTGCCGAGTGACGCCAGAGGGCACTGTCGTCCTGAGTCAAATGTCAGAGCCAGAAAGCTGAGACTTGCCTTCATCTAGCCCAGTTCGTTTGACCACGGAGGACTTCGAGCCACAGCCTTGCCCAAGTTCCTCCAGCTAGTCCACAGCAGAGCTAGAGCCAAAGCTCAGGTCTCCTGACTCCCAGTCCAGTGCTCACCCTGCAGCCACACCGGCATGGAAAGCCCAGGACCCACCATCTGGACAGCCCAGGTGCACGGGAGTCTCATCCCCTCAGCACTAGGCCCCAGGGGGAGATCAGTGGGTAGAAACCGAGAAATAAATCGACTTCTGTGCTCTATTCTCTCTCCTTCCAGAAGGGAAACCCTTGTACTATGTAGAGTATGAGAACGAGGTGGGCAATGGCTCTGACTTCTATGACATAGTGGTCATCGCCACCCCCCTGCACCTGGACAACAGCAGCAGCACCATCAGCTTCGAAGGCTTCGACCCGCCCATTGATGCCGTCCAGGGCCCTTTCCAGCCCACCGTCGTCTCCTTGGTCCATGGCTACCTCAACTCTTCCTACTTTGGTTTCCCCGACCCTAAGCTTTTCCCCTTTGCCAGCATCCTCACCACGGATTTCCCCAACTTCTTCTGTGCCCTGGACAACATCTGTCCCGTCAACATCTCGGCCAACTTCCGGCGGAAGCAGCCTCAGGAGGCAGCCGTTTGGCGAGTGCAGTCCCCCAAACCCCTCCTCCGGTCCCAGCTGAAGACCCTCTTCCGCTCCTATTACTCGGTGCAGACGGCCGAGTGGCAGGCCCACCCCCTGTACGGCTCCCACACCGGCCTCCCGCGCTTCGCCCTCCACGACCAGCTCTTCCACCTCAATGCCCTGGAGTGGGCGGCCAGCTCCGTGGAGGTGATGGCCGTGGCTGCCAAGAACGTGGCCCTGCTGGCCTACAACCGCTGGTACCAGGACCTAGACAAGATTGACCAGAAGGATCTGATGCACAAGGTGAAGACTGAGCTGTGAGGGCTCTGGGGAGATCCCGGAAGGTCCATCCCCGCCGATGATAGATCACCCCCGCTAGCGGCCACGGTCGGGCAGGCTGCGCTCCCCCGCCAGGCCTCGCTCCGGCCCCTCGTGTGTCAAGCTGCTTCTCCTTCCGGCGTGGGTCCAGGTGGCCCACTCTCTGCCTCTCTGTCTTAAGGACTCTCACAGTGTTTGCTTCTTTTTAAGGGGGAGAATGAGAGAAGGGAAGGAAATTCCAGCCCGTGTATTCATTTTATTTATTTTTTTTAAGAAGAAATAAAAATCCACCCTCTCCAGCTGCTTCTGATTGGGTTTTCTAACTAGAATACGGGGATCATTGGGAGGAAATACGGGGAAAGAACTATGAACCAGATTTCTTTATTGTTTTTCATTGCCTACTCCCAAAATGTGTGTGAGGCAATACCTACAATGAAATACAGGTACCAGACGGTTACAAATAAAGTAGAAGGGAAGATCAGAAAACATCAGACATGATCAAAGCTTCCTCTGTACTGTGCGCTTGCTAGATGTGAGGCGCTTAGCTGAGAACTTACTAGACACCAGCCAAGCCTCTCAGCAACACTGCATGTCGGGAGACATGACTGTGGTAGGACCTAAGGAAGAGATGGTGACCTCAGTGGAGCTCTTGGGATAGCTCTGAGCTTCCTGACATCCAGTGGGCAAAGGGAAATATACCAGGCCATAGGAAGAGAAAAGCTTTTCCTCGGCACCTGGAAGAGTTGGCCATTGTGTCCATTATGCAAGGGTCGAAGAGTGATACAGTGGACCTTTCTTGCAAGAATACCGGTTCCTAGGTGGTGGAGGGTGGTCCAAAAATATCCTTCAAGTAGATGGAGGCCCAAATTGGCTTTGAAGTTGTTTTTGCTGTGCTGAGGTGATGGTTGTGTCAGTGAAGAAGACGGTGCCTTTAAAGTGCACGTAGCGCGTACCTGTCGGTTATTATAGGAATTATGAAGCTGGCGCATCGGTAAGAATGTTCTACCTCTGGTTGAAGTAGTAGAAAACCAATCTTAAAGTGGCTTCAGCAATAAAAAGAGGTTTTATTGGTTATGAGAGTCCGGGCACAGGGCAGGCATCAGCTCTGTGCTGTGCCAGCGCCATTTTTTCTCTCCTGGTCAAGGATGGCTGCCAAGAGCGCCCAGGGGCAGCGGTCTCGCACGACTGTGAACACAGTCGGCTCTGGGCCAGCTGGGCAGTGGGCCCCTGCTGAACCAATTCTCTGTGACCGAGCAAATGCCGCGTGCTAATTGGTTTAAGACTCAGCTGCTGGACCAGTAATAGGGACACAGGGGATGAGACGAAGCTGATTGGCTTAGAAGAGTCAGGTCCCTCCCCTGGAGCAGCCTTATCCAGACTACAAGTTAGGAGAAGCGGAAAGGGGGTTAGAGAGAGGCACTCTGTCAACCACGTGCAGGGTGGGGCTGTGCCCTCCCCCTCTTCTCAGGGCCAGTGGAATCAATATGTAATGACATCCTTTCATGGTCTGTGTTTGGAATGAAGATGCCACGGGCTGTCCTATTGTAACTGATGGTCATTGGTATTGGACCAAGGCCAGTTTCAACCTTGTCCCTGGTAACCATCCCTCCCTTGCATCCCTAAGGAGGTGCGCACAGAAGAGGCAAACGAGGACAATTACATCTGATCCCCAGTCCTCAGCTGGGACTTTGGCTGGTTCTTCAGAAACTTCCTTTATCTGGGTAGACAGGCCTGAACAGCTCAGAACCAAAGCAGGCCAAAGTGCCCATGCTGACAGCTGGCCCGCTTCCCCGAGTCCAAACCTGAGAACTGGATCTCACCACCTCTCTGCCTACAAGGAAAAGCCAGAGATTCCTGAAGATAGGAGACGGGATCATAAGTTCCAGCAGGAAGCCTTGGCCCCAGGGCCCACCCCAGCCTTCTCAGACCAGGACAGAAGCCCCCACGGGCCCACAGCCCTCTGGGAGAAGAGAGAGCATTTGCAGAGACAGCCCTATAATTTGCCAAACAGAGCAGGAAGGAGGCCACACTCCTACTCAGTGGTCCTGGGGCAGTGTGGTGGACATTTAAAACTCTTTGCAGGGTCTCCATCCCTACAGCGGGTGACCTAAGCAAAACTTGAACACTTGGGGGTATGGGAGGTGGTGGAGGATAGAGCTGGGGGTGGCTAAAGAATGGGAGGGGCGAGAGGAATGCCTTGCTCCCGATGCACCATTTTTTTTTTAATTTTTTTTAACATTTATTTATTTTTGAGACAGAGACAGAGCATGAACGGGAGAGGGTCAGAGAGAGAGGGGGACACAGAATCCAAAACAGGCTCCAGGCTCTCTGAGTGGTGGGCACACAGCCCGATGCAGGGCTTGAACTCAGGGACCGCGAGATCATGACCCGAGCGAAGGTCGGAGGTTTAACCGACTGAGCCACCCAGGCACCCCCCTACTCCATTTGACACACCTTTGAAGGAGCAACAGGAGCTGGGGCAAACCTTGGGCTCCCCCTAGAGGCCTCTGTGCATGAGTGCATGCATGCATTCAGCACGCATTCATGCATCCAGCCCTGCACTCTTTTGCACTGGACCCCGTGCTGAGTGCTGGAGATGCAGATAAGGCCCCTATGCTCATGGAGTGGGGGGGGTTCTTACCAGACAGTGTAAAATATGAGTCACACACAGATTCAAACCAAAGGAGGTTCCTGGGCACAGTGTAGACCCAGCTCTCTCCTTGGACCTCCAAAGGTCCTGAGCTCCCTGCTGCTGCCTTTAAACCAGGGGACTAGAAAGGGCCAGCTGCCAGCCCAGGCTCCCAAGGCCAAGTTCCTAGGCTGCAGAATGGTAACACTGGGAAAGACCCTGAAGATCCGAAATCCCATCTGCTTGTTTCACAGACGAGAATACTGAAGCCCAGAAAGTTAGGAAAAAGCAACATCCATATAAAACTAACCGGCACTTACTGAGGATCTCTGTGTGTCTGATGCTCCAGTAGGAGAACAGCCTGTCCCACCCGGATGAGGAGTCTCCCCGCCCAATCCCTATGCCCCAGGGAACCCGAGTCTCCCACTAGAGCAACCATCCTGCAGCTCAGTTCTTCCCACGCCTGCACCCCACCACAAGGCCTTGACGCTGTGGGTCCCTCGTGTGCTGCTGAAGTCTTACTAAGGCCTGGAGAGCGGGCTGTGGGGCCTCACAGGCGAACAACCCCTGGGGAGGAGGGCCGGCTGCTGGAGGCATCAGCTTGGGCTGGCACATGAAGTCTATTTTCCATGTGTCTGGAACCAGGCCAAAGCTTCCTGGGGTAATTTTAACCAGTATCCGCTCTAGAACAATACCAAAAAAGGTAAGTTGCTTACCACCCCAGACAGGCTCATACCTAATCATTGCCCTTTCATGAATTGGACTCTTAAAACCTTCAGAGCTAAAACTGCTTTAGGCACTGAAGGAAGAGTCGCCAAGCAAAGTGGCCCTCTGTTGGCTGTTGGCCCTCCTGTTGAAATTAACCCTGAAGTGCCAGCTGTTCTTAACCTCACAAAATAGCCTGAGCCCCTCAGCTGTCTTGGGGGGAGGGAAGGTATTTTTAGACCCTGGAACAACTGGTTTAGGACTAGCTGCGGGGGGCTAGGAGGTCAGGGGGAGGATTGAATTGCAAGGAGGTAATGAGGGGAGCTGGGACTTATCCAAAGGGCAGGAACCAGCAGGGGTTTAACGACAAGGCAGTCCACACTGCCTTTCTGATCAGCAAAGTATCTTGATATAAGCCAGAGGTTCTCCAAGTTCTCCAAGTGTGGCCCCCGGACAAGCAGCTATCACCCGGGAACCACTGCATTGGAAATGCGAAGTCTCAGCTCCCACCTGGAACCCCTGCACGTGGGGCCCCCGCGATCTGTGTTTTAACGAGTACTCCAGGTGATTCTGGCGCTAGCTAAAGTTTGGGAACCGCCAATATCATGAAACCATCTATCCAGATCCCCTTACACATAAGGCTGGAGGAAAGAATGATCGACACGGGTGCTTCCCAACTCTTGAGTGTTTGTTCAAAGCAAGGGATCCCAGCCCGGAAAAATCCATACCCGCGTGAAAGTTTCAGGGGCCGGCTGGCCCAGATTAAACCCCCCCCCCCCCCCCCCCCAACTCTCTGGCAACCTGAAGGCTCTTCTGTGGGTCTAGGGCTGACCTGCAGAGAATCTCAGAGCTGAAAGAGCCCTTCTAGGTCACTTACTCTAACCAAAGCAGGATCTGCTCCACAGTATCCATAGAGCTTCAGCATTAGCCGGGCTTTTCCAGAAACTGGAAGCTCCCCGCTTCCCTAAGAGCTTGCTCGCAACCGTCCTTGACTTATCTGGGGGAGAGATGGTGTTTGTTCACTCCTATATAGGTTTATATCAACGAAGCTCCAATAACATGGTTGAAGTAGGCTTACAAACCCAAATTAAAGGAAGTATGTGACTGCCCTAAATGGTAGAGTGAATGCAGTATTTTTTAAATAACCTATGTCAGTGTTGGAGACCGCTGAGCGATGGAATATCCCTTTTTATTGATCTGAAATCTACATCCCAACAGCCTCCCATCCCCCACCCTGGTTTCGGCTTCTGAGCCCCAAGGAGCAACCCAAAGTCTCGCTTTACAAAAGACAGCGTTTACTTTTCATTGGCCTGGCTTGGCGCGGGGGCGCAGGGAGGGTGGCCTCCGCCCCCCCCCCCCC